TATCAGATCTAGAGTTACATAGAATAAGTTTGACTTAAATCCCAAAATAGGGTTTGGTAAATATTTGACGGCAAACTAACTACGGCTACCTTTTAGGATTTAGTTTTCAGTTATCACCTATGAATGCCATCCATAGGGGCCGGTGTATTTGTTTTAACACGATGATGGTCGAATTCTACTTTGTTTCTACTTTCCCTCGACGGTTTTGAGATTTTTTGTGGTGCCTTGGAAAAGATCAAACGAAAAAAAATTGTAGCAAATGTCGTGCGGGAACTTACTTTATTCTCTATGTATAGGGGGCTGAAGTAGTCTCTAAGACTAGCATAAGCAATTTAAACAAACAATTGATAGCGTTGATATAAGTTTCGGTAAGAACGGAATCATGAGGTTCATTTTGAATAAATGATTCCAAACAACTTTTCTCTCAACTGTCAAAAAATATTTTTTTGGGAATAAATAGTAAGAGAAAAAAATTTCAAATGACTTGATCGATGGTACTTCTCTTCTCTTCTGCTTTGAGAAGTGGAATCTTTAGGAATTAATTATTTTCAAGTCGCACAGGTGTTCTTATCTCGGAGTCAAGTTTCAGTGCACAAAGGCTGTGCATTGAGAAACGAAGCTACTTGGCAACAATTTGACGCAAAGTGCGGATGCAATTTCTGGATGGCTTTTCTTATGTATGTAAACACACCATTCTGAAATGTTTGAGGGCACTCGTTCTTGAGCAGAGGTGAATTATATACCTTTTAGGCTTAAAAGGTTCTGAGAGCTGATAACCAAGTCTCCCTGACGTTGGTGAGTGCGGGGCTCTAAGGAATAATTGCGTGTTTATCATTCGTTATTCCTTTTCAGGGTAAGTGAAATTCGTTGTTATCATTAAGATGAGAAATAGTGTTGTTTTCTGTGCTAATAAAACGGTAAACTTGAACGTGCTTCATCCGTGTGTTGATACATTAAAGAAAAAATTGCATGCGTTTGAGCTCCAAGATATGATGTAAAACACTGTATTGAGGAATTTAAAGGAGCGAGGAATCATCTTTTACCAACGCAACCTACGACAAGACAATTTTTTACCGCTAAAGAACAAATTAGAGTTCTTCCGTGTTTAATGTTTTAAATAAAATCGAGACCAAAGATTTGCCGCAGTTCAACTGGCCTTTTAAATAAAGTAAAAAACAGTAAACAGTAAACAGTAACACATTTGGTAGACTTGTTGTTGACTTGCAGCCGACTCAGAATGGATTCCTTCATTTCTCTTCCGTTAGTTTCTCCCTCCGTCTATTTTTTTAAGGGCATTTTTGTTTGTTTACTTGTTTGGTTTGGTTTTCGTTAAATTTATAGGCTAGAAAAAACGTCTAAGGCATATTCCTAAATAATATATACTATTCAATTTCAGCATCGGTGGTGATGGCGTGGAATTCAAGCTTCTTTATCATCCTGGCCTCTTTGTATTTCAAAGACCTCGCTATTGCTAAAAATCCGTGCAAGACAGGAGTTAGCGTACCCGGTATGGCTCTCAAAGGATTCGTCTTTAAAAAGGTCCCAGTAACAGCTCCTCACGTGTGCGATGTCACCTGCGAGAGGGAGACGATATGTCAAAGCTACAATTATGTAATTGGGGAAAAGTCCTGTGAATTAAATACCCGAACCAAGGAAGCAAGGCCCGAAAATTTCCAGCCAGATGGTTTACGCTTTTACATGGGACGCATTAGTGGTAGAAGTATGTATCCGGTTTAGTTTATTTTACATACAAATCTTTCTCAGTGAGTTCCTAGTAAGACCTCGCTACTTTCTGAGAGCTGATGTCCGATTGCTTTGTTATTAAATAGGGTCAGTTTCTTAAAGCAAAATTCGCCTTCCATACATATATTGATATCAGCTAAACTACTCAACTCTTAATTATTGTTATTCCATGTTTATCTTGCTCGGACAAACATATTTTCAGATCTAATCTGTTTTTCAACTTCTATTACCCTTAAACTATTAATGAAGTCATGTCTATATATTAGCCCCCTTAGGATCTATTCCTGAATTACCAGCGTTATCGTGCCAAGAGATAAAATTAAGTGAAGGCAAAGACAGCATCAGTAAAAACTACTGGTTGGATCCAACTAATGTCGGGAGCTCAAAGTTGGTTTACTGCGACATGATTTTGGAAGGTAAGTCAGTATACCAAGAACAGAATTTACACAGCGTTTGGTCTACCTTTGCCCTAGCCTTTTGTGAAATGTATTCACCTTGTCTCAGTGATTTCTTCGATTAATTTCCAATTAGAAATCGATGAATGTAAAAGCAGCAATAACGTTTGTGACGAAAATGCAAACTGCTCCAATACTGTTGGGTTTTATAATTGCACCTGCAAAGAAGGGTTTACTGGGGATGGACACTCGTGCTCAGGTAAATTAGTTATAGACATGCCGAGGTAAAATACTTAATTTTTTTTTCGTCGAAAAAGCGCTGGTTGTACATTTCAGCTATCTACAATCGAGTGAGTGAATAATAGACCAATAATAGCTTGTATGCTATATCAGAGAAGCCTTTGCATTAAAAAACGCAATTTTAGCAGGAACTACTGTCCTACTATTGTTAAGTTTTGTCTTTTTAAGCAGCATTACCCATACATGTTTATGCAAGGAGCTGCCATGATCTACATCCGGTTTTTTTCAGAGCCATCATGTTAGGAAATTTAAAATCATTAGAGAAGAGAATAAAATATCTAGGTTGCACGTTTCAAAAGTCTAGTTCGTTAAAGACGAAAAAGTGAAAGCTTTTACTTATAATTTGAAATGATTAAAGTAATTACAAATCGTTAGGTGACGAAAATAAAGTGCAAAATGCATTTACGGTTTCTCAGATATTGATGAGTGTAAAGGAAATCACTCCTGTCACGTGAATGCTAAGTGCAATAACACCCTTGGATCACATGTATGTGAATGTCAGCCTGGATATACTGGAAATGGACAAAACTGCAGAGGTGAATTTAATCTCTTTGCTATAATATCTGGAATAGTCCTGCATGACCCCTTCGACAACAGCGCCGCACCATTCAGCCGCGTCGCAAGAAAATAAGATAATTGATCATTCAGTCATAACTTGTTTTAATTAAGCAGCCCTTTCTCATGTTAAGGACCTTTTAGGTAATGTTCCTGACTTTTGAATGAACAAATTTGGTGACTGATATAATTGATATTCTACTTTTAATTGAACGTTACATCAATGATTGACAAAAGCATGAAAACAAGATGGATATGTGAGTGATTTTGCATGGCACTGAGTTTTTGTTGACGCTTAAGATATATTTGAGGGAAAAAGTTGGAAATTATTATCATCAAGTTTTATAAAATAATCAAGATACTGGTAGCGCCGTGATTGGTCAAAAACCCATCGTTGATTGCACCTATAAACCCATGGAAAATTAATTGTTTTCTCTCAGACGTTGACGAATGCAGCAAATGAACGGATGCCATCCGTTCATTTAAGCTCATACCGTCAAAATGAACGGATGCCATCCAAATTCATCTTGCACTAATACCCAGGGCTCATCATACAACTGTTCTTGCAATCCTATGTAAATTGGGGATGGTTTTGAATGTAAAGGTTAGTTTGGTTTTTCATGAAGGCGATGAAATCTATATTTTGTTTCCCACGTTAAACGTAGCAGTAAATTGGCTTAGAGCTGAATTTCATTCGAAATTCAAATCCAGGAGGCATAATTTTACGCTCCCTTGTGCACAAAAACGAAACAACTTTTGATTATACATGACTATAAATATATGAAAATCATGCATGTGCACTGCGGTTGAAGAAACGAATATAGAGGCAATCCTCGCAGTTATGAATACCACTGAACTAGTAGTGAAAATAAGGCCTGAAAAAAATTCAGGTCCGTACGGGATTTCAACCCATGACCTTTACGATACCGGTGCAACGCTCTACCAACTGAGCTAACAGGCTAACTGGGAGCTGCTAGTTACAAATAAACCATCTAATTGGTGAATACATTAATGTAAACATATGAAAATCATATATGTGCACTGCTACTGCCAGTGTAGTAGTGTTCAAAACTGCGAAGATCGCTTCAATGTTTGAAACTTTTGATTATGTTTTTAAAACCTTACACGAACTTTTACATGATGCAGACATGACACACTACGTGGAACTAAAAAACTGTTAAGAAACTCTAACCTTAAAAGATTCCCCCATAATAACAGGTATGATCAATCAAATTCGTTTGACTTTTGCAAGCCAATTTGCGCTATGGTTGTAAATAATTGTATGATGCTAATAGGCAGAGAGTTCTTATACAGTCAAGGGAAATAACTGTGTTGTTACCAAATACCTCTGGGCTGGTATCGTTGTGTGGGAAGTGAGGGTCAAGAATGTCTTAAGCGCATTTGGCAGCATTCAGTTGAGGTACAAACAACTACAGGCTTTGATGGGCGATTAAAGTAAGAGGAAAGATAATTCTTTACAATACTATCATTTCATTTTAGTTCTTTTGTGCATCATTATTGTCCAACGCAAGATTCTCTTTAAAATTAACTTAATGCATAGTTTTTCTTGTAACACGCAAGTCCTATCCGATTATTATCGAACTGATTGACTTGAAAAATGTCAAAAACAGAAAAATGATATCATTAATACTGCAACATTTTGTAATATTCATTTATTTTAATAGCCGACCCATGTTATTATCATCAAAACCTGAGTGATGCCGATAGAAAGAACAGTTACGCTACACCGGGATTTGACATGTACTACTTAGCCCCTTAATTAATGTAAAGTCACTTGTCTTCTTAAGTGCAAGTTTCACCACTGATTGACAAGCTGCTAGAATTATAGGACGTTAGAAAAGATCTTGAACCATTGATGTTAATAACCTAAGTCCTGTGCAATTATTTCACTTTGTAGCCGATCCTTGCTATCATTATAAAAACCTGAGTGAAGCCAGTAGAAAGATAAATTACAGTACACCTTTAGGTTCAGCGTCGTGTGACTACCAACTCCCTTTTGGATGGTATCGTTTTGTGGGAGCTGCAGGAACAAAAATGCCAACAACACGTGTGCCAGCATACAAATGTGGTACAAACTGGTCAGGCTGGTTGGATGGTTCTCATCCTACAGTGGAAGATGGTGAAGTTCCAAGGAAGGTCTGCTTTAGTGGTCGCTCTACTGGTTGCAGATACTCAACAAATATTTTTGTAAAAAACTGTGGATCCAACTTTATCTACGAACTTAAACGCCCACCTGGTTGTGCCTTACGCTACTGTAGTACAGACTGAATGTAAAGCAAATGTACTTCGCGTAGTAAGAGGACTCATAAATCGCTCTGTAGGTACATGTGTACAAGGTTTTGACATGTGACGTATTCAACTTTTCTTCTCTATCGTCAACATTATCAGCAGATTTTAACTTTGGTGGCAAACAAGTATTTATTTCATTAGAATGATAATTCTCATCGGATAGCCTTTGTCATTGAAGAGAGAATTGCCCAAAGGATCTTTAAAGTAATCTTCAAGTAAAATCTGCAAGACACAAACTCTCAAGCTTATGGCTTTCGAGCCTTTATGTTTTTTTTTTCGTTTTTTTCATCCTTCTATTGCTGTAATTATAAACCATGATTATTTTAGCGTTGGTCAGTGGAATATAAACAGGCGCTATCTTTCGCTATAGGCGTAGAAAAAAAGTGATGACAGTCAAAATCCGATGTCCTATGAAATTACGTAAATTTAACGTAATAATAGTAACTCAGTATTTTGAAACGTTGAACCAATTTCCAGACACAGTAAGCAAAATTTAATGGTTTAGCCTGCGTAACCGTGTGTTAAATGTGTCCGAATCGACCAGGATTCATTTGAAATTATTGGATCGCTTACATCTCACGCTTATTTTGAATCCAAGTTAAAGATCTTTACGCAATGGCTTCAAAGTGTCCCTATACAGCTTATTTAACTAAGCGCACGGGCACTTCATTTATTCGAGACAAAATTTGTTCAAATAATTTTATATAGGTAATCACGCGTTTCCAGTGCAATTTGGGATAAAACAGAACGAGAAAATTTTAAACGACTAACCAAATTGCATAAAGCCGTAAGGCGAGTGCAACTTGGATGTGTATTATTAAGTTTAAAAGCTGCATGTAGCTTTTAAAAGTTGACCTGTTTTGCCTACAACATAAACACGCTAAAAGAAAGGTATTCAGAACTGCAATGTGTTAAAAAAAAGTATTTAGAGTAGCTTAGTTAAACACAAGTTGTAAACAACTTTTTACACCGTTTAAGTACATCACCAAAAATATTTTACAGGAATGTTAGATTTGAAATCAAAATCACAGTTTCTCTCGGCGAAGTTTTCCTTTTATATAATGCAAACATATTCAAAGAATCCTATGAAAAATAGTAAGCGCAGAAAAGAAACCCACTCTCACCGTAACCCCCAAAGGCTACTGCCTGATATTTCAATATTCTAACTAAGACTAGTCTTCCAATCATTTGATGTTCATTTGTCTCTAATTTACAATAAGAGACCTGAACACAAAGCAAATGAGGCAAAGCAAGGCGAGTTTCTTGACAATGTATCAAAATATAGAAAAATCGTCGGTAGACTCTTCAAAGCAAAGTGATATGAGCTGGGTCAATCGTGGCTCAGCTTTTTGAGTGGTGTAAATAAATTATCTCATTATTTAACAAAAACTGTGTATCTCTTTGTAAATAAATTTAACTTACACAGACTATTTTTAGCTGAGTTTCATAACACGAACACGAGTAAGCGTTAAGGGCAGTGTAGTCCATGGGTCGGAGTAGGTTCTCGATACCACTCATCTAATAGCGATCGCGAAAGAGTAGCTTTCACCGTTTTTTATTGAAGTTAATGTCAATAACCTGGGAAAAATAACAACAACAACAAGGAAATATTGCAGTGAAGTAAAAACAATAAAAACTGGGTTTAACTTTACATCGCAACGATTCAGTAACAAACGGAGAAAGTTATTGAAAAAGATTTTAACCTAAGGAACAGAAAAAGGAAAATAAGGTATTTTTTAACTTAATATTGAACATTTTTCTTGATTAATTGCAAGTAGTTTTCATAAGTAATGTTTGAATTATGAAGTTAATAGTAATAAAAAAAAAATTGCAAAAAGGCATCTCTTGTAGTTCATGCCTTTGTTAGTGCTAAGGGGATGTACATAAATTTGATACCCGTATGGGACAAGGGACAAAGGGGAGGGGGAAGGTTCTTTATAAAAGAACAATGGGAGAAATCATTGTTACCCTTAGGACCTGATAGTAATAATGGATACCTTTTGCATTGATGTACAAAAATTGCTCTGAAAAAATTCATATTCACTTTCCGCTGGTAAATGAAGTTATCGATAAAATGTGTAAACGCACTGGGCGGTTAACTTCGCTCGGTTAATATATTTTTTCCATAAATGAATCAGTCGGAACTGTTGCAGAATAAAGTCTGGTAATAAAACCAGGTGCTGTAGTATTGCCCATCGTCTCCCGTTGCCGGATTCCATCATTTATCCTGTCGATGTCATCTGTCCGGCAGAAGGAAGTGAATAACGTTTTCGTACACCACAAATGTAAGTGCACATGCTGGCGTTACTCTAGAAAGAAACAAAATCAACAATCAAACGCACAATACACAGTAAAATCGACAATGAACGTTTTACATATATTACAGTTTCAGGGTTTCTTCTAAAGCGCTCCTTTGCTGGATTTCCAAAAACAAAAAAACCGCTAAAACCTACACTAACATATCAGGTGGGGCACAAACATTTTGTGATAACGATAAGTATCTTAATAATTTCACAGTATTCGAACATGTAACTGACGAAAACAATGACATGACACCTACTCCGAATTTTATAGGCTCTTAATGTATCTATCGCCTGTCTCTTCTTCCCAGTTTCTCACAGACTAGAGGGTGCAAATAGGTTCAAACACCTTATGGGGGTACCCCATCTCTTAAGACCCTTTCCTTTACAAAGTGCTACCTAAAATTAAAGATGAGAGCCCACTAAGCCCTCTTGGCCAATTCTAGATTATACATTGCGGTTTAATACATAAAACTAACAAGCAAATCTACTCGTATCATCAAATTTATTTTTAACATTTAGCCTTACCTGAGGACACTGGGAATTAATCCTTTATAAAATCCTGTTACTCCTTCATGCCTAAGATTTTGAAAAGAACCTGCCGTGAGGAGAGGCCAGAAAAAGAAGAATACTTTCTTTCATAAAAAATGTGGACTTTACCACTAAGCCGTAAGTCAATCCGAAATTGGATCCAGTTCTCAAACAAGCTGGTTTCAGTTCTCCACCAATTTTGGTCCAATTCTTTGTCAAATTGTTTCAAACGGGCAAAACATGTACCTCTCTTTTTAATGTAGAGGGTTTGAACTGACTAGAGATGGAAAGCTAGTCTATAACGTATCGAAAGCTTTAAGTCCTCATGTCAAGTTCCAACTTACCTGAAAGTCTTACTAATCACATCCAACGCGCCTTTGTATTCCACCATCGTGTACTGATTCTTTAGAAAAGTAAAATTCATGAACAATAAATGACAGCAAGAAACAGTAAATACTGAACGATTTAACAAAACAGACTTGCTTAGAGACAGCTCCAGATATACTCAATTGGTTTTAGCTAATTTTATGGGCACAGGATCAAAACTTTCGCGCCGAGCGTTCTCATAACCATCTTGGATCCGTGTTTCTTAAGAGGAATAGAGAGAGTGAAAGAGGGTGAAAGCTACTCTCCCTCGTGAGATTTGGTATTTATCCTCATTGTAGGGTTTCCCTGGCCTTTTGTTGGTGCCCATTTGAAACACTGGGAGGGGGGATGTGTGGTGCTAACGAATCTTTTCCCAAGGAACCGACACAATGACCTAGCTGAGGCTCGAGGCCCGAGCACAGGCCACATCAAACTGGAGTCCAGTAAACCAACCGATGAGATCACCGGCCTGAAAACTAAAAAACAGCCTTAAACTACAAGTTTATTTCAAGAGAATAGCATACAACAGTAAAACGAAATCTAAATCTATGTCAAAAGGTTAATAATTTGCTAATGAATCTCCCATTCTAACCTGAAGTTTTGCTCTAACCACTTGATAAGGATATGTCGCTGTTGCGGCGAAAATTTTCGACAGTGAAGCCATTACAAGGTACTCAGTTGAACTCTATGAAGAAAATGAAAGTTAGCAAAACATAAATTATAGAGCAAAACACTTTATATAAAAAAAAGAAATACTATATTTTCAGCACTTCAGAGTGATTCCCAAGATAACCCACGGTTACATAATAATAAACGTCATCCCATAAGTACCTTCCTAACAGCCACGTGCACAACAAAGGTATTAAGGTTGTCGTTTGGGCGTCAGTTGTAGCTTCAAAATGCTGAAGCTCGTCATGGAGGATTACTACTCAAGATGAGAAGCCAAAAACTTCCCCCACCCTTCCCTCTCTCGTGTTCTCCCTTTGCATTCGCCACTGGCCACTACATGTGTTCGTGTTGACCCTTTACACCCTATCATCAGTATCCATATTCTCCATACTGTTCTCTGTACATTTCCAAAGATACTGACAAGGAGAATTTCTTAAACAGTCAAGAACTTTTTCGGAGGCTGAATATTTCCTCTATTCTCATGACCTCCATGTGTGATTCAGAGGTGATATTGTAAGGAGAAGTTAGATGTCAGTCAATCTTGGGGGGGGGGCAAAAGGTTGATTCTTATCAATCCTTCTCGGTGGAGAGGGGAGTTGAGAGTAAAGTTTCGTTCCAGTTTCTTGTTGATTGGTGTTCCAAAATATTGACTGTAGCCTTTCTTCAGCTCCTTGCAGTGCTCCGTGCGATACGCCAAAAATACCTGGAACGTAACACTGGTGAAGTAAAATAAAATGACATGAGCAAACTTCATGTTCCATCCAAACACATAAACTCAGGTAAACTCTAAGCTAGGCAAAGATAGCGAGGTCTTAAAAAAGGCTGAAATAGCTTTGTATGGTTGCTGACTCTAAGACTGATGTTTGTGCTTCTCTTTTGTTCTTGCTCTTTCCTTCCCTTTTTCTCTTTTTGATTGTTTTTTTTCCTCCTTTTTTTAAGGAGGTTTGAAAACCACTGTTGGCTTAGTGCATATGCAGCAACCAAAGCATACTAACTACAAAAGTGAATATCGAAGACATAATTGTAATTGCATCATGCAGACCTACATCTGTGAGATACCTAAAGTTCTCTGCAATCAGAGTACCAAACAATGAGTCACTTAAAAAAATAGGCCCAATGTATTGGTGTACAGTTTTCAAATTGTGCTCCATAAGAACACTTTTACACTTTCACTATTGAATCTCCCATGCACATCTAACAACTAAAGACTGTATATATTTTTAATAATTCCTCTATTGTACTACATTTTATTTCATTATTTTTTTTGTACTTAAGCCGAAGGTATTAAGGTACACATGGAGCGGTACACACCACTTGTGACTTCTTGGATTTGATTGACTTTATTAGAGACCAATACCCTGCATACTTCACCGCAAGACAAGCACACACAGTCAAAATAATCTCAATTTTTAACTTGATCAATCAATCAAAAAGCTGTCAACCGATACATATGAAGGTTACCTTGTATAAACCTCTCAACCCCTCATGTCTCCACAACTTTAACAGAGCATCTGTAAGGATCAGGGAGTACAAAATAAGTCATGCACCTGGATTTCATTTTAGTGAGGAATTGGTGAGCACAATTACATGCCCCACCACCTTGATTCCAGTTCACAGTGAAATTATGATTGAGAAAAGTATCAAACAATTTATTATTCACTGCTGAATCAACGTTTGGCTTATAAAAAACTAAAGAAATGATCACAAACTTGAAAGAGCTCTTGATTTTTAACTACATTCTCCTTGTAAGTTGCATGTCTGAAATGTATCAAGAACAGTACGGGGAAATACATACTGATGGAAGTGTGTAAATGGTTCACTTTTCTTTTCTCTCTCCCTAGGTAAAAAGGTGTCATTCATCTTTGCAAACAAATATCTTACCAAAAATTCATTTGTACTGAGGTGTTTGTGTTTTTCAGCAAGGGAATCAGAATACTAGAGACATAAGCGAGTTTTGACCACCCATATTAGATTTGTTAGGTAACCTGGCACAGACCACCAAAAAGTTAATTCATCATACTAATTAGCAAATAGATGGACTTTAATCGTTGGAAAGAAAGTCAACGTGATATAACTTAAAACTTTTCCTAAAATGATCTCAAAAATAACGGAAAACAGTCGATTACTCGCCAAACATACAATTATCTATTTGTTCAAAATTGATCAGCGCACTAGAATGAATGTGGAAAGGGCATCGAATGAGTTAACGTCTGATAACATTTCGCACCGTGAACACAACCCTGAGAGTGACGCTAAATGAGCACGATTCAAACTTCGAGTCTCTCAACAGAGACAAACACCCTGTCCCAGATGCTTTTGCCGAAACATATTCACAATTCTTTCATTAAATTTTTTTCGAATATCTGTAGTTCTTAACAATAAAAACAAAACAAGATTATAAAGACTGCCTCGAAAAGCTCGTCCGTGGAAAAGCGCCAAAGTTTGCCCGAGAGGTTTGAAATTTCAGAATTCAGACCACCTGTACATTCTCTAAAATTCAAATTCAAATAAAAGATTATTTGGGACTAGAAGTTATTAGGATCCACAAGTTATTGGTAAACTTACAGAGCCACAGAATTTAGAAAAGGAACCAAAACTGAATAGTTTCTTTGAGATCAACTTAGATTTATAAGGCCTATTTGGTGCACCGTTTTATTTTGTCCCTTGTTAGAAGTGCTGTTTCACAGTAACTTTTTTTGTTTGTTTTCAGTCATTTGCGCCGGTGAAATATCGCTTTCAAAAAAATCTCACAGTTTCAAACTATGGCCAACATTTATCAAATAGAACATAAAAAACCACGATAATTCCATAGGGACATTTTTTAATGCAATAGCTACAAGGATTCTCTCTAAGATATCACCTTTAATTGCCATCCATAGAAGGTGGGTGTATTTGTTTTACCACAATGATGGTCGAATTCTACTTCGGTTCTTCTACTTTCCCTCGACGGCTTTGAGGTTTTGTGGTGCCTTGAAGGAGATCAAATGAAAAAGAGCACAAAAAATTTAGCCAAATCTCGTGCAGCAACTTCTTTATTCTCCATATGTAGAGGGCTAGATTAGTCTTTAAGACGAATATCAACATTTAGACAAAGTAATTGATAGCATGAATCATGAGGTTCATTTTGGATAAATGATTCGAGACAACTTTTCTCTCAAATATTGATAACTGAGTTCAGTCAAAAAATATTTTTTGGGAATAAATATTAAGAGAATATAGTTCAAATTGCTTGACCGATCGTACTTCTTTTCTGCTTTGAAAAGTGGAATATTCAGGACTTAATTATCTTCAAGCGGCACCGGTCCGGCGGTTGTAATTTGCGTCCACGGGGCGTCTTTCCTACAATAGAAACCTCATAAAAAATAAATGTCCTTAATGCATCAATTTTTGGTCACGGAACCATAGTTAAAACAATGTTTAAGGACTTAACTCGGACTCAAGTTTCAATGCACAAAGGTTTTGCATTAAGAAACGAAACTACTTGGCGACGATTTGACGCAAAATGCAGATCTAATCTCTGGAGGGCTTTTCTTAAGTCAACACATAATTCTGAAATATTTGAGGGCACTCGTTTTTGAGCAGGAGGTGAAATAGATATCTTTTAGGCTTAAAAAGTTTCTGATAGCTGATAATTAAGTCTCCCTGACGTTGATGAATGCAGGGGCTCTAAGGAATAATTGTGTGTTTATTATTCGTTGTTCACTTTCAGCATGAGTGAAGTTCTCTGTTATCATTAATATGAGAAAAAATCTTCTACTCTATGCTAATATAACGGTTAAATCGAACGCGCTTTCTCTGTGTATTGATACATTAAAGAAAAAAATTTCAGGCGTTTGAGCCTAAACATATCCAGGTGCAAAATATTTTATTGAGGACTTAAAAGGAGCGAGCACTCATCTTTTACCAACACACCCTAAATTGACAAATATTGACAAAATAATCATTTCAAATGTTTTTCAGTCCACTTTCGCAAAGCATCTCTAAACTGGTAAAGGAATGCGACTACAGCCTTAGGAGAAAGAAAAAATATTTTGCGTTTATAAATAAGATTCCTTATATTTTTACTTTTTTGTATGGAACTGATAGCGAAAAAGAAACTAAAAAATTAGAAGCAAATTACTTCCAAACAGATTATTGACAAGACAATTTTTTACCATTAAAGAACAACTTTGATATTGGAGTAAACGGGACAGAATTCATTTAAAGAGTTCTGCTGAGTATAAACGTTAAAAATAAAATCGATACCAAAGCTTTGCCCTACTTCAACTGAAGTTTTTCAATTAAAAAGCCTCATTTCAGTCGATGGATTTACAATGTAAGTTCAACCTCATATCCTGTCTCTTAAATTGATATGGAAGAGGAATCAAATCGTTTGGTTCAAACTGAATCTTCAGCGAATAAGTTCTGCGTCATTATTTTATACAGCTGACGGAAAATTGCAAGCGAATTGATATTAAGGAAAGGAAAAAAACAGAGTCTTGTTTAACCTTTTTTTCCTATAAACTTGCCATAACATGAATATTCTCCCCCATAAATCGAACGGTCACAGTATGTTTTGTATCCCCAAAAATTTCGCAACTCAAAACAGCAATTGATAGACATTTCAACAAATATTTGGAGTTTGCATCACTCGTTTCATTTTCATATTGAAATCGTGAGGCCAATAAACATCTCCGCTGCAACTCTGTCTAAGAAAAACCCTAATGATTCCCAAATAACTTCAAATAAAAGTTGGCGATATCAAAGAAACGGGTGAACAAAGGTGTAGCGACTCAGACAGTAATAACATTTAGTAGACATGCAGTCAAGAGTGACGCTAAATGAGTACGCATAACACTTCAAGTCTCATAACTGAGACAAAAAACATGTCCTGGACGCTTTTATCGAATATCTGTAGTTCTTGGCAGTACGAACCAAACAAGAATATAAATATTGCCAAGAAAAGCTCGTTCGTGGAAAAGCGCTAAAGTTTGTCTAAAAGGTTTTAAATTTCAGAATTTAGACCACCCGTACATAGTCTCAAATGCAAATTCAAATAAAAGGTTTTTTGGGACTAGAAAATATTAGGATCTCACAATTCTAACTCCATTAAGTCATTTCAAATAGGATTTTGCTCGAAAGCTCTCTTTAATTGTTCCATTATATGTCACACTTAAAAGATGTTAAAAAGATTTTTAAAAGATTGAGCAGCCCCGCGTAAAAAAAAAACAAACAAACAAACAAAAGCAAGCAACCCAGGAAAAATGAGGGCGAGACTCTGTTAGTTTAAAAGTTTTGTATTCAAATGATGGTCATTAATAGCTTTTAGGACCTGTTATATCTCTCGTTTAAAAACAAACTATACATGCACTTGTGGTGACGAAGGGGTTGGAAGAAACGCGAGAAATTCTTAAATGGCGTAATTTGGGAGCAGCCTACAGAATAAATTCAAGTAACGTAAGGATAAAAAGAACTTGAGCACGTTAGATGACAAAAATGCACCTGTCAAATTTGCAGCGTCATTGACTTAAATGAACTTCACAATCGGCGAATTGTTTGTGTTATGCTTGGAGGTAAATGGTTAAAATTTTTCTGCAAATTCGTCAGTTTGTTCGCAGTTTCCGTAAAATGTTGCTAGATTTACTTGCCCTGATCCTGAGCTTAAATTCCAATTGTAGCTTCATTTGAACCCTCAAGTTTTAATGTCTTTCTCGACTAATGGAATCTTGTTTACTTTTAACAAATGAATTGCATCACAAATCATCAATATTTGCTGGAAGTTTCCAGACTAAAATTATACAACTGTGGACAAATGGCACGGACGATTTGACGTTCTTCGAGTTTAATTATATTTCCTGAGCTAACAGATGAGTGTCTTTTGTTATGGATAATGGATAAATATGAGGGATATGTTATCAAAACACTCCTAAGAGCTGATTTTAAAGTAGCTTCGTAAGTCTGTATTCAAAATTTATCAAATCCTAATTCGTGCCTCACAGCTAGTAATTTATACCGATTGAATTTCAACTTATAATTAATAAAACAAGTATCTTCGCCATTGGTTGGCAAACATCGCAAACAGAAAAATTATATTACTTAAGTTCCGGCCCGAATTCTACTGAATTCATTGCTTCTGAGGAGCCAAACAGAAACGATGATGTTCTCTTTTAAGGTTAATTATTACACATTGGCTTAAAACAAACGTTTGGTATCTTAATCATAGTTATAATACTTTGATGAAAGAGAGCAATTTTAACTCGGCGGCAATCATATGATTGAGGACCGCATTTCTTATATTTATCAGCTCTAGTGTTACGTGTATATATATATATAACTAATTTTTCATACGACTTTTTGATTACTGAACTGTTTTTTTTTAGATAAAGGAGAAGTAACACACACTAACAGATACTTGTTTGACAGAAGATATATATAAAACCGCAGCTACTTGAAGATTACTAAGCCAATTTGGTAAGGCTATCTTCGCAAGTTAACTACACTAGATAAGCAGATCAAAGGTATCATTCCACAAAAGCTGAGAGAAGCTAAAAAACCTCAGATATTCTGATACAACTTTTAAGTTGTACTTAACATTTTTTTCTTGACATTCCAACTAGCATCCTGTCGAGCTGCTATGAAGTTTTCTCGCGAAGTTTCAGGCGGGCCATTAGACAGTGCATGACATTTATTATAAATTTTATTTTTACTCATTAGGTAGGTATACAGTTTTTCAAAGTTAGCTGTAACTAGGCGGGAATTAAACATGTACTTATGGTGTCTTACCCTCAATATTTGCAGATTAAATGCAAGTAAAAGGTATGTTGTGGATATTCCAAAATTTAAGATTCCTCCTCTTCGCCTCAGCCATGGAGTTTGTCACAGCTGACGATCAATGTAGGAACAATGTATACATAGAAGGGATGGCTCTCAGGTGTTCGGTCTTCAAAAGATGGTCAGTAGCGGCTCCTCACCTCTGCGATGTCAAATGCGGACAAGAGATCACCTGCCAAAGCTATAACTACAATCAAAAATACCAAATATGTGAACTAAATAACCGCACCAAGGAGGCGAGACCAGAGAATTTCCTTTCAGCTCCCGCGTGGTTTTACATCCGGCGATTGAACGACAGAGGTAAGAAAGTGATTCTAAGTGATTCGTATTTCTTTAAATCTTCTCCATCCTCAGCCTGATTCCTTCTCACCCGGAAGAACTAAGAAAAGGAAGTGAACGTAAAACATATCTTTACTTCAGCTCCATTAGGTTCTATCCCTGAATTACCAGCGCTGTCTTGTCGGGAAATAAAGGATAGTGAAGGTAAACACACCATAAGCGGCAAGTATTGGCTCGATCCAACTGGGAAAGGAAAGGCAAAACTGATTTACTGTAATATGGTTAACGAAGGTAGGTCCTATGAGTTTGAATGAGTTATTTTATTTTGTAACGAGTTATAGGTATCATGAAATTATTATAAATTATACTATTATTGATATCATCATCGTAATATTTGGTTTGGATCAGTTCTATGGAGGATGTCTCTCTCAAGTTGCTCTAACTTAGTCACTGCTTCTCTTTCCACATTCTAGATATGGACGAATGTAAATTTAACATCAGCGACTGCGACGTGAATGCAAACTGTACTAACACGTATGGTTCTTACAAATGCACATGTAAAGTGGGATACACTGGCGATGGACACTCATGTTCAGGTAATTTTGAAGATTACCTTATTAATATTTCTAAATAAAACTAATTTTTGTAAATCGTCTCATAATTTAGAGCAGCGTTACCCATGCACGCATTTATGCACAGAGTTACCATGATCTACATCTTGCTTGTTTCAGAATAGTCAGGTTGATAAATTCAACTATTTGTGCTGAAATTTATGTAGCACTAAAAGAGAAACATTTGTTTTATAATTTGTGATGATTAAAGGAATTAACCGACTATGAGTCATAAAAACGATAAGATGCAAAAATGTATCGATGATTTTTCAGATATTGACGAGTGTAAAGGAAATCACTCTTGTCACATGAATGCTATCTGCACGAACACAAAAGGATCGTACGTTTGTACTTGTCACCGCGGATATACTGAAAATGGACGCGGCTGCGCAGGTATTTGATGCGTTTCTTTTGTAACCATTTTCGTCAGAAAGAAAAGCACTATCATCGTTGTAAAACTTGTTTTGCCATTATACCTTGTATTTAAAAGAGATGAATGTAGACCTGAAGACAATATTGATGATGACACAATTGTTTTAAATAAACATTCAGGGGAAAAAAATCTCTACTGGTAAAGGAAGACTTGATGGATGGGCTCACAGGACAGAACAATGGATTAAACTCGCGCAGAATCAAGAAAAAATTTAGTGAGCGCTAAAGTGAGGTGCTTGCGTCTAGGACCCAAGAAAGCAAGATTAAGGTTTCTAAGTTTATGCTCGGCAACTTCTTCCCGATTGCATTTTTTTAAATTTGTTTTAAAAATTTTTGAGGATCAAAGGAATTAACCTTGATGCATTTCTTTTGAAACCATTTACATCAGAAAGAAAAGCACTATCATATTTGCGAGGCTTGTTTTACAAGCATACCTTGTATTGACCCTTTCACTCCTAAGATCTCATTAGTAATTCTGTTTACAGTCTACCATACAATTCTTACGATGTTAGTTCTAAGAATTTGGTATTGAATCAACTGATAATCCTCAAGCTGATACTTTTTTATATTCTCGTCATTTGTCTGTTTGATATTGTAATGATTTGGTAAGGAGAAAATTCTTTTTGGTCATTAAAGGAAGTTAGGTGGTTAAGTAAACATTCAGTGTAAGTTAAAAAATCTCCACTGGTAAAGGGAGACTTGATAGACAGGCTTACAGGACAGAACAACAGATTTAAACTTGGGGGAACCGAGAAAAAAATCTGGTGAGTGGTTGTGTGAAGCACTTGCGTCTGGAACCACAAGACAACAAGACTAGGGTTTCTTACGTTATGCTCGGCAACTTTTTTTTAATTACAGTTCGTTTCTTTAGTTATGTTTACGATTTTACAGATATCAACGAGTGCAAAGGAAATCACTCTTGTCACGTGAATGCTACATGCATGAACACCCTTGGATCACATGCCTGTCAATGTCATGCTGGATATACTGGAAATGGACAAAACTGCTCAGGTGAATTTAATTTTCCGCTACAATATTTTTAATAGTCCTGTATGCCTTCCGGCTACAGCGCCGCACCATTTAGCCGCGTTGCAAGACAATTAGGTAATTAATTACTCATTACTGGTTTTGATTTAGGCAGCCATTTCTAATGTCAAGATCCTCTTAGGTAATGTCCCTGACTTTTAAATGAACAATTTTGGTGACTGAGGCGTTGTTCTCCTTTAAAATTAACCTTATCACAATGACTGACAGGAGCATGAAAATAAAATCGCTCGTTTGGCTCTGAACCCTGTGCACAGGATGGATATGTAAATGATTTTCCAAGACGCTACGTTTTCGTTGACACTCAAGATATATTTGAGTGAAAAAGTTGAAAATTATTATCATCAGGTTTTATAAAATAGTCAAGATACTACGAGCGCCCTGATTGGTTAAAAAACAATCGTTGATTGCACCGGTAAACCTGTGGAAATTGAAGTTTATATATGTTATTTAAGTAACAGACCGCACTTTCGATCGGTTTACCAGCGTAGAAAACATCTTCAGTTGTTGGGAAACCATTCGAAAAAAAAGTAGATCAATCGTCTCCAGCTCGTTCTCACAAAATCCAGCGTGGATTAGATCGCCAGTAAACTGAGAGAAAGAGCGATAAATAAAGGTTCTACAAGAACTGCGGCGCTGCGTCAATGGTACGTTTTGTGGGAGCAGCAGGAACAAGCCAGTTGTTTCAGAGCCGATAGCTTGATAAACTGAAATATTCGTGATAAAATATACGTTTCAAATATCTAATTCGTAGAACACAAAAAAGAGAAAAACTGTTTTATTATGTATGATTATCAAAGTAATCACTCGACTGAGAGTCCGCTCATTTTTAAAGTGACAAACATAATGAAGTGCAAATATATATGTGGTTTCTCAGATATTGACGAATGTAAAGGAAATCACTCTTGTCACGTGAATGCTACCTGCACGAACATCAACGGATCCTATCTTTGTGAATGCCACCCTGGATTTAATGGAAATGGTCAAAGCTGCACAGGTGAATTTAATCTCTTTGTAATAATATTAAGAATATTCCTGCTCGAATATAACCTGAAGCTACTGAGGTGGCCATATTATTAGTTTGTCATATATAAACGATACTGGTTGTGCCCTAAGTCTGCCTAGGGCTGTCCTTTAATGCATTGTCTGAAAAAGAAGGAGCTCAAATTCGGATCCTGCTGAGTTCATCTGGATCTTCAATATCACTGTTTTAGCCTCAAAGCCTTAAAGTAGTTAAAGACATGCCGAATTACAATATTTAATTCTTCTTCGCCTAAAAACACTGTAGGTACATTTAAGGTATCTTCAATCGAGTAGGTGAATAACAGACTAGTAATAACTTGCACGCTATACCTGTGGATCCATATCATTAAATAAAGCAATTTCAGCAGGAACTATTGTTCTACTAGTGCTAAGTTTTATTTTTTAAGCAGCATTACCCATACATGTTTATGCTCGGAGTTGCCATGATCTACATCCGGTTTGTTTCAGAGCCATCATATTCGGAGATGTAAAAAAAAACATTGGAGAAGAGAATATAATATCTAGGTTGCACGTTTCAAAAATCTAGTTCGTTAAAGAGAAAAAAAGGAAAACTTTTTTTCTTATTATTTGTAATGGTCAAAGTAATTACAAATCGTTAGGTGACAAAATTAAAGTGCAAAATGCATTTACGGTTTCTCAGATATTGACGAGTGTAAAGGAAATCATTCCTGTCACGTGAATGCTACATGCATGAACACCCTTGGATCACATGTGTGTCAATGTCATGCTGGATATACTGGAAATGGACAAAACTGTACAGGTGAATTTAATTTCTTTGCTACAATATTTTAAGATACGTTCGGCTACAGCGCCTCACCATTCAGCCGCTCACGTTGCAAGAAAATTCGATAATTGATCACTCATACCTCGTTTTAATTCAAGCAGCCATTTCTCATGTTAAGGACCTCTTAAATAAAGTTCCTGACTTTTGAATCAACAATTATGGTTACTGATGCATTGATATTCTGCTTTTAAATTAACTATATGTCAATAATTGACAAAAGCATGAGAATGAAATCGCTCGTTTGGCTTTGTGTACAAGATGGAGATGTAAGTGATTTAACATGGCGCTACGTTTTCGTCGACGCTTAAGATATATTTTAGAGGAGAAGTTTAAATTTTGTTATCATCAAGTTTTATTAAAATAGTCAAGACACTAAAACCTATCGTTGATTGCACCGGTAACCCACGGAAAATTGAAGTTTATGTTGTTTTCTCTCAGACGTTGACGAATGCAGCAAGGCGCATGCCGTCAAAATGAACGGATGCCATCCAAATTCATCTTGCACTAATACCCAGGGCTCATACAACTGTTCTTGCAAACTTAAGTATATTGGAGATGGTTTTGCATGTAAAGGTTAGTTTGGTTTTTCATGAAGGCGATGAAATCTATATTTTGTTTCCCACGTTAAACGTAGCAGTAAATTGGCTTAGAGCTGACTTTCATTCGAAATTCACATCCAGGAGGCATAATTTTACGCTCCCTTGTGCACAAAAACGAAACAACTTTTGATTATACATGACTATAACTATATGAAAATCATGCATGTGCACTGCGGTTGAAGAAACGAATATAGAGGCAATCCTCGCAGTTATGAATACCACTGAACTAGTAGTGAAAATAAGGCCTGAAAAAAAATTCAGGTCCGTAGGGGATTTCAACTCATGACCTCTACGATACCGGTGCAACGCTCTACCAACTGAGCTAACAGGCTAACTGGGAGCTGCTAGTTACAAATAAACCATCTAATTGGTGAATACATTAATGTAAACATATGAAAATCATATATGTGCACTGCTACTGCCAGTATAGTAGTGTTCAAAACTGCGAAGATCGCTTCAATGTTTGAAACTTTTGATTATGTTTTTAAAACCTTACACGAACTTTTACATGATGCAGACATGACACACTACGTGGAACTAAAAAACTGTTAAGAAACTCTAACCTTAAAAGATTCCCCTATAATAACAGTTATGATCAATCAAACTCATTTGACTTTTGCAAGCCAATTTGCGCTATGGTTATAAATAGCTAGATGATGCCAATAGGCAGAGTTCTTACACAGTCATGGGAAATAATTGTGTTATTACCAAATATCTCTGGGCTGGTATCGTTGTGTGGGAGGTGAGGATCAAAAATGTCTTAAGCGCATTTGGTAGCATACAGTAGAGGTACAAACAACTTCAGGCTTTGATAGGCGATTAAAGTAGGAGGAAAGATAATTCTTTACAATACTATCATTTCATTTTAGTTCTTTTGTGCATCATTATTATCCAACGTAAAATTCTCTTTAAAATTAATTTAATGCATATTTGTTCTTGTGACACGCAAGTCCTATCCGATTATTATCGAACTGATTGACTTGAAAAATGTCAAAAACAGAAAAATGATATCATTAGTACTGCAACATTTTGTAATATTTATTTATTTTAATAGCCGACCCATGTTATTAACATCAAAACCTGACTGATGCCGATAGAAAGAACAGTTACGCTACACCGGGATTTGACATGTACTACTTAGCCCCTTAATTAATGTAAAGTCACTTGTCTTCTTAAGTACAAGTTTCACCACTGATTGACAAGCTTCTAGAATTATAGGACGTTAGAAAACATCTTGAACCATTGATGTTAATAACCTAAGTCCTGTGCAATTATTTCACTTTGTAGCCGATCCTTGCTATCATTATAAAAACCTGAGTGAAGCCAGTAGAAAGATAAGTTACAGTACACGTTACGGTTTAGCGTTGTGTGACAACCAACTCCCTAAGGAATGGTATCGTTTTGTGGGAGCTGCAGGAACAAAAATGCCAACAACACGTGTGTCAGCATACAGTTGTGGTACAGTCTGGTCAGGCTGGCTGATGACTGCTCATCCTACAGTGGAAGATGGTGAAGTTCAAAGGACGGTCTGCTTTAGTGATCGCTCTACTGGTTGCAAACACTTAACACATATTTTTGTAAAAAACTGTGGGTCCTACTTTATCTACAGACTTAATACGCCACCTGGTTGTAGCTCGCGCTACTGTAGTGCAGACTGAATGTGAAGTAAATATACTTCGCGTAGTAAGAGGATTCACAAATCGCTCTGTAGGTACATGTGTATAAGGTTTTGACATGTGACGTATTCAACCTTTCTTCTCTATCGTCAACATTATCAGCAGATTTTAACTTTGGTGGCAAACAGGTATTTATTTCATTAGAATGGTAATTCTCATCAGATAACCTCTGTCATCGAAGGCAGTTGAAGGATCTTCAAAGTAATCTTCAAGTAAAATCTGCAAGACACAAACTTTCAAGCTGATGGTTTTCGAGCATTTCATTTATGTTTTTGTTTTTTGTTGTTTTTTTTTTGTCTTTTTCATCCTTTAATTGCTGTAATTATAAACCATGATTATTTTAGCGTAGGTCAGTGGAATACGAACAGGCGCTATCTTTCGTTATGGGCGTAGAAAAAAAAGTGATGACAGTCAAAATCCGATAACCTTTGAAATTACAAAAAGTTGACGTAATAATAGTGACTCAGTATTTTGAAACGTCGAACCAATTTCCAGACACACAGTAAGCAAAATTCAATGGTTTAGCCTGCGTAACGCGTGTTAAATGTGTCTGAATCGACCAGAATTCATTTGAGATTAACGGATCGCTTACATCTCACGCTTATTTTGAATCCAAGTTAAAGATCTTTACGCAATGGCTTCAGTGTCCCTATACAACTTATTTAACTAAGGGCACGGGCACTTCATTCATTCACGACGAAATTTGTTTAAATAATTTTATATAGGTAATTACGCGTTTCAAGCGCAATTTGCGATAAAACAGAACGAGAAATATTTCAACGACTGACCAAATTGCATGAATCCGTAGGGCGAGTGCAACTTGCATGTGTATTATTGAGTTTAAAAGCTGCATGTAGCTTTTAAAAGTTGACCTGTTTTACAACGGTTAATGTTTGCTTACAACATTAACAGGCTAAACATAAGTTGTAAACAGCTTTCTACGCCGTTTAAGTACATCACCAAAATATTTTACAGGAATATTAGATTTGAAATCAAAATCACAGTTTCTCACTGTGAAGTTTTCCTTTTCATACTGCGAAAATACTCAAAGGATCCTATGAAAAATAATAAGCGCAGAAAAGAAATCCACCATAACCCTCAAGGGCTACTGATATTACTGATATTTCAATACTCCAGCTAAGACTAGTCTTCCAATTATTTGATGTTCATTTGTCTCTGATGATGATGAGACCTGAACACTAAGCAAATGGGGCAAAGCAAGGCGAGTCTCTTGACTGACAACGTATCAAAATATAGAAAAATCGCCGGTGGACTTTTCAAAGCAAAGTGATATGAGCTGGGTCAATTGTGGCTCAGCTTTTCGAGTGGTGTAAATAGAAGGGCATCGTGTATGTTATCTAATTATTTAACAAAAACTGTGTATCGCTTTGTAAATACATTTACCTTACACGGAGTATTCTCAGCTGAGTTTCATAACACGAACACGACAGTAAATGTTAAGGGCAGTGTAGTCCATGGGCCAGAGTAGGTTCTCGATACCACTCATCTAATGAGAGGTTATGTAAAAGACTTTTCAAATTCATTTTATGGCAATCGCGAAAGAGTTGCTCTCACCATTTTTTACTGGAGTCAGTGTCAATAACCAGGGAAAAATAACAACAACAACAAGGAAATGTTTGGGAAAATGCATGACACCAGAACCCAGCGAAGTAAAAACAAAACAATCAATCAAAACCGGGTTTAACTTTACATCATAACGATTCAGTAACAAATCGAGAAAGTTATTGAAAAAGATTTTACCGTAAGGAACAGAAAAAGGAAAATAAGGTCATTCTCAACATAATATTGAACATTTTTCTTGATTAATTGCAAGTAATTTTCACAAGTAATGTTTGAATTATTAAGTTAATAGTATTAAAAAAAAAACTTGCAAAAAAGCATCTCTTGTAGTTCATGCCTTTGTTAGTGTTAAGGGATAAGGGATGTACATAAATTTGCTACCCACAAAGGACAAGGGGGGGGGGAGGGGGAGGGTGCTTTATAAAAGAACAATAAGAACAATGGGAGAAATCATTGTTATCCTCAGGACCTGAGAATAGTAATGAATACCTCTTGCATTGTTGTACATAAATTGCTCTGAAAAAAAATCTTATTCACATGCTGCTGGTAAATGAAGTTACCGATGAAATGTGTAAACGCACTGGGCGGTTAACTTCGCACGGTTAATATATTTTTTTTCATAAATGAATCTGTCGGAGCTGTTGCAGAATAAAGCCTGGCGATAAAACCAGGTGCTGTAATATTGCTCATCGTCTCCCGTTGCCGGATTGCATTATTTATCCTGTCGATGTCATCTGTCCGGCAGAAGGAAGTGAATAACGTTTTCGTACACCACAAATGTGAGTGCACATGCTGGCGTTACTCTAAAAAGAAACAACAACAACAACAATCAAACAAAAAAAAAAAGAGAACCACTAAAACTTACGCTAACGCACAAATACTTGTAATAAGGATAAGTATCTTAATTATTTCACAGTATTCGAACATGTAACTGACGAAAATAATGACACGACACCTACTCCGAATTTTATAGCCTCTTAATGTATCTATCGCCTGTCTCTTCTTCTCAGTTTCTCACAGACTAGAGGGTGCAAATAAGTTCAAACACCTTATGGGGTACCCCATCTCTTAAGACCCTTTCCTTTACAAAGCGCCACCTGAAATTAAAGATGGGAGCCCACTGAGCCCTCTTGGCCAATTTTAGGCGCATTTGAAAACTGCATAGTTGAATTTGCGCGGTATAAATAAATGTTATTATTATTATTAATATTATTAGATTATACACTGCGGTATAACACCTAAAACTAACTACCAAATATATTTGTATCATCAAATTTACTCTTTAACATTCTGCCTTACCTGAGGACACTGGGAATTAATCCTTTGTAAAATCCTCTTACTCCTTCATGCCTAAGATTTTGAAAAGAACCTGCCGTGAGAAGAGGCCAAAAAAAGAAGAAAATACCTTCTTTCATGAAAATGTGGACTTTACCACTAAGCCGTAAGTCAAACTGAAATTGGATCCAGTTCTCAAACAAGCTAGTTTCAGTTCTCCGCCAATTTTGGTCCAGTTCTTTGTCAAATTGTTTCAAACGGGTAAAACATGTACCTCTCTTTAATGTAGAGGGTTTGAAACTAGAGATGGAAAGCTAGTCTATAACGTATCGAAAGCTTTAAGTCCTCAAGTCAAGTTTCAACTTACCTGAAAGTCTTACTAATCACATCCAACGCGCCTTTGTATTCCACCATCGTGTATTGATTCTTTAGAAAAGTAAAATTCATGAACAATAAATGACAGCAGGAAACAGTAAATACTGAACGATTTAACAAATCAGACTTGCTTAGAGACAGCTCCTGATATATTCAATTGGTTTTAGCTAATTTTATGGGCACAGGATCAAAACTTTCGCGCCGTGCATTCCCATAACCATCTTGGATTCGTGTTTCTTAAGAGGAATGGAAAGAGTGAAAGAGGGTGAAAGCTACTTTCCCTCATGAGAATTGATATTTATCCACATTGTAGGGTTTCCCTGTCCTTTTGTTGGTGCCCATTTGAACCACTGGGAGAGGGGATGTGTGGGGCTAACGAATCTTTTCCCAAAGAACCGACACAATGACCTAGCTGAGGCTCGAGGATCAAGCACAGGCCACATCAACCTGAAGTCCAGTAAACCAACCGATGAGATCACCGGCCTGAAAACTAAAAAAAGCCTTAAACTACAAGTTTATTTCAAGATAATAGCATCGAAAGTAAAACAAAATCGATCTCAAAAGGTTAATAGGTTGCTAATGAACCTCCTATTCTAACCTGAAGTCTTGCTCTAACCACTTGATAAGGATATGTCGCTGTTGCGGCGAAAATTTTCGACAGTGAAGCCATTAGAAGGTACTCAGTTGAACTCTGACGAAAATGAAAGTTAGCAAAACGTAAATTTGAGAGAAAAACACTTTATATAAAAAAATAACTACTATATTTTCAGCACTTCAGAGTGATTCCCAAGATAACCCACGGTTACATAATAATAAACGTCATCCTATTAGTACCTTCCTACCAGCCACATGTACAACAAAGGTAATAAAGGTTGTCGTTTGGACGTCAGTTGTAGCTTCAAAATGCTAAGGCTCGTCATGGACTACTCAAGATGAGAAGCCAAAAACGCCCCCCACCCTTCCCTCTCTCGTGTTCTCCCTTTACATTCGCCACTGGCCATTACATGTGTTCGTGTTAACCCTTTACACCCTAACATCAATATCCATCTTCTCCATACCGTTCTCTGTATATTTCCAAAGATACTGACAAGGAGAATTTCTTAAACAGTCAAGAACTTTTTTGGTGGCTGAATATTTCCTCTATTCTTGTGACCTCCATGTGTGATTCAGAGGTAATATTGTAAGGAGAAGTTAGATGTCAGTCAATCTTAGGGGGGGGGGGCAAAGGGTTGATTCTTATCAATCCTTCTGGGTGGAGAGGGGAGTTGAGAGAAAAGTTTCGTTCCAGTAAATGACAACACTTCAATCATCCACCCTAAGCTATTAACATGATCAGAGTAAAAGTACTTCACATGTTTTGTATGTCAAGGATTAAGATCAAGAGTTTCTTGTTTGCTAACTCGGTTGAATTTGTGAGCTTTAACACGTATACAATCAACTATACAGACACGTGCAGAAAGTATTCACCAGCTTCTTGTTGATTGGTGTTCCAAAATATAGACTGTAGCCTTTCTTCAGCTCCTCATAGGCCATGAATTGCAGTGCTACGTGTGATACGCCAAAAATACCTGGAACGTAACCATAATGCAATGGTCAAGAAAAATATAATGATATGAGCAAACTTCATGTTCCACCCAAACACATAAACTCAGGTAAACTCTAAGCTAGGCAAAGATAGCGAGGTCTTAACTCTAAGACTGATATTTGTGCTTCTCTTTTGTTTTTGCTCTTTCCTTCCCTTTTTCTCTGTCTGATTGTTTTTTTCCCTCCTTTTTTTAAGGAGGTTTGAAAACCACTGTTGGCTTAGTGCATATGCAGCAACCAAAACTTACTAACTACAATATTAAAATGTTTTACATTAAGTCTCAAAAGTGAATATGAAAGACATAATTTTGATTGCATCATGCAGACCCACATCTGTAAGATACCTAAAGTTCTCTGCAATCAGAGTACCAAACAATGAGTCACTTAAAAAAAAGGCCCAATGTATTGGTGTACAGTTTTCAAATTGTGCTCCATCAGAACACTTTTACACTTCCACTATTGAATCTCCCATGTACATTTAAGAACTAAAGACTATATATATATTTAATAATTCCTCTATTATACTACATTTTATTCCATTATTTTTTTTTGTACTTAAGCTCAAGTTATTAAGATACGCATGGAGCGGTACACACCACTTTTGACTTCTTGGATTTGGTTGACTTTATTAGAGACCAATACCCTGCATACTTCACCACAAGACCAGCAGACACAGTCAAAATAATCTCAATTTTTAACTTGATCAATCATTCAAAAAGCTGGCAACAGATACATATCAAGGTTACCTTGTATAAGCCTCTCAACTCCTCATGTCTCCACAACTTTAACAGAGCATCTGTAGAGATCAAGGAGTACAAAATAAGGCATGCATCTGGATTTCATGTAAGTGAGGAATTGGTGAGCACAATTACATGCCCCACCACCTTGATTCCAGTTCACAGTGAAATTATGATTGAGAAAAGTATCAAACAATTTATTATTCACTGCTGAATCAACGTTAGGCTTATAAAAAACTAAAGAAATGATCACAAACTTGAAAGAGCTCTTGATTTTTAACTACATTGTCCTTGTAAGTTGCATGTCTGAAATGTGTCAAGAACAGTACGGGGAAAATACATACTGATGGAAGGGTGTAAATGGTTCACTTTTCTTTTCTCTCTCTTAGGTAAAAAGGTGTCATTCATCTTTGCAAACAAATATCTTACCAAAAATTCGTTTGTACTGAGGTGTTTGTGTTTTTTCAGCAAGGGAATCAGAATACTAGAGACATAAGCGAGTTTTGACCACCCATATTGAGTTTGTTAGGTAACCTGGCACAAACCACCAAAAAGTTAATTCATCATTCTAATTAGAAAATAGATGGACTTTAATCGTTTGAAAGAAAGTCAACGTGATATAACTTAAAACTTTTCCTAAAATGATCTCAAAAATAACGGAAAACAGTCGGTGACTCGCCAAACATACAATTATCTATTTGTTCAAAATTGAACAGCGCACTAGAATGAATGTGGAAAGGGCATCGAATGAATTAATGTCTGATAACATTTCGCACCGTGAACACAACCCTGAGAGTGACGCTAAATGAGCATGCTTCAAACTTCGAGTCTCTCAACAGAGACAAACACCCTGTCCCAGATGCTTTTGCCGAAACATATTCACAATTCTTTCATTAAACTTTTTTTCGAATATCTGTAGTTCTTAACAATAAAAACAAAACAAGATTATAAAGACTGCCTCGAAAAGCTCGTCCGTGGAAAAGCGCCAAAGTTTGCCCGAGAGGTTTGAAATTTCAGAATTCAGACCACCTGTACATTCTCTAAAATTCAAATTCAAATAAAAGATTATTTGGGACTAGAAGTTATTAGGATCGCACAAGTTATTGGTAAACTTACAGAGCCACAGAATTTAGAAAAGGAACCAAAACTGAATAGTTTCTTTGAGATCAACTTAGATTTATAAGGCCTATTTGGTACACCGTTTTATTTTGTCCCTTGTTAGAAGTGCTGTTTCATTTGCGCCGTTGAAATATCGCTTTCAAAAATCTCACAGTTTCAAAATATGGCCAACATTTATCAAAGAGAACATAAAAAACCCACGATAATTCCATAGGGACATTTTTTAATGCAATAGCTACAAGGATTCTCTCTAAGATATCACCTTTAATTGCCATCCATAGAAGGTGGGTGTATTTGTTTTACCACAATGATGGTCGAATTCTACTTCGGTTCTTCTACTTTCCCTCGACGACTTTGAGGTTTTGTGGTGCCTTGAAGGAGATCAAATGAAAAAGAGCACAAAAAATTTAGCCAAATCTCGTGCAGCAACTTCTTTATTCTCCATATGTAGAGGGCTGGATTAGTCTTTAAGACGAATATCAACATTTAGACAAAGTAATTGATAGCATGAATCATGAGGTTCATTTTGGATAAATGATTCGAGACAACTTTTCTCTCAAATATTGATAACTGAGTTTAGTCAAAAAATATTTTTTGGGAATAAATATTAAGAGAATATAGTTCAAATTGCTTGACCGATCGTACTTCTTTTCTGCTTTGAAAAGTGGAATATTCAGGACTTAATTATCTTCAAGCGGCACCGGTCCGGCGGTTGTAATTTGCGTCCACGGGGCGTCTTTCCTACAATAGAAACCTCATAAAAAATAAATGTCCTTAATGCATCAATTTTTGGTCACGGAACCATAGTTAAAACAATGTTTAAGGACTTAACTCGGACTCAAGTTTCAATGCACAAAGGTTTTGCATTAAGAAACGAAACTACTTGGCGACGATTTGACGCAAAATGCAGATCTAATCTCTGGAGGGCTTTTCTTAAGTCAACACATAATTCTGAAATATTTGAGGGCACTCGTTTTTGAGCAGGAGGTGAAATAGATATCTTTTAGGCTTAAAAAGTTTCTGAGAGCTGATAATTAAGTCTCCCTGACGTTGATGAATGCGGCGGCTCTAAGGAATAATTGTGTGTTTATTGTTCGTTGTTCATTTTCAGCGTGAGTGAAGTTCTCCGTTATCATTAATATGAGAAAAAATCTTCTACTTTATGCTAATATAACGGTTAAATCGAACGTGCTTTCTCTGCGTATTGATACATGAAAGAAAAAAATTTCAGGCGTTTGAGCCTAAACATATCCAGGTGCAAAATATTTTATTGAGGACTTAAAAGGAGCGAGCACTCATCTTTTATCAACACACCCTAAATTGTTTCTCACTGCTTGGCACATACACGTGGCTGGAAAATGACAAATATTGATAAAATAATCATTTCAAATGTTTTTCAGTCCACTTTCGCAAAGCATCTCTAAACTGGTAAAGGAATGCGACGACAGTCTTAAGAAAAATAAAAAATATTTTGCGTTTATAAATAAGACTCCTTATATTTTACTTTTTTGTATGGAACTGATAGCGAAAAAGAAACTAAAAAATTAGAAACAAATTACTTCCAAACAGATTATTGACAAGACAATTTTTTACCATTAAAGAACAACTTTGATATTGGAGTAAACGGGACAGAATTCATTTAAAGAGTTCTGCTGAGTATAAACGTTAAAAATAAAATCGATACCAAAGCTTTGTCCTACTTCAACTGAAGTTTTTCAATTAAAAAGCCTCATTTCAATCGATGGATTTACAACGTAAGTTCAACCTCATATCCTTTCTCTTAAATTGCTATGGAAGAGGAATCAAATCGTTTGGTTCAAACTGAATCTTCAGCGCAAAAGTTCTGCTTCATTGTTTTATACAGCTGACGGAAAATTGCAAGCGAAATGATATTAAGAAAAGGAAAAAAACGGAGTCTTGTTTAACCTTTTTTTCCTATAAACTTGCCATAACATGAATATTCTCCCCCATAAATCGAACGGTCACAGTATGTTTTGTATCCCCAAAAATTTCGCAACTCAAAACAGCAATTGATAGACATTTCAACAAATATTTGGAGTTTGCATCACTCGTTTCATTTTCATATTGAAATCGTGAGGCCAATAAACATCTCCGCTGCAACTCTATCTAAGAAAAACCCTAATGATTCCCAAATAACTTCAAGTAAAAGTTGGCGATATCAAAGAAACGGGTGAACAAAGGTGTAGCGACTCAGACAGTAATAACATTTAGTAGACATGCAGTCAAGAGTGACGCTAAATGAGTACGCATAACACTTCGAGTCTCATAACTGGGACAAAAAACATGTCCCGGACGCTTTTATCGAATATCTGTAGTTCTTGGCTGTACGAAGAAAACAAGAATATAAATATTGCCAAGAAAAGCTCTTTCGTGGAAAAGCGCTAAAGTTTGTCTAAAAGGTTTTAAATTTCAGAATTTAGACCACCCGTACATAGTCTCAAATGCAAATTCAAATAAAAGGTTTTTTGGGACTAGAAAATATTAAGATCTCACAATTCTAACTCCATTAAGTCATTTCAAATAGGATTTTGCTCGAAAGCTCTCTTTAATTGTTCCATCGTATGTCACACTTAAAAGATGTTAAAAAGATTTTTAAGAGATTGAGCAGCCCCGCGTAAAAAAACAAACAAACAAACAAACAAAAGCAAGCAACCCAGGAAAAATGAGGGCGAGACTCTGTTAGTTTAAAAGTTTTGTATTCAAATGATGGTCCTTAATAGCTTTTAGGACCTGTTATGTCTCTCGTTTAGAAAACAAACTATACATGCACTTGTGGTGACGAAGGGGTTGGAAGAAACGCGAGAAATTCTTAAATGGCGTAATTTGGGAGCAGCTTACAGCATAAATTTAAGTAACGTAAGGATAAAAAGAACTTGAACACGTTAGATGACAAAAATGCACCTGTCAAATTTGCAGCGTCATTGACTTAAATGAACTTCACAATCGGCGAATTGTTTGTGTTATGCTTAGAGGTAAATGGTTAAAATTTTTCTGCAAATTCGTCAGTTTGTTCGCAGTTTCCGTAAAATGTTGCTAGATTTACTTGCCCTGATCCTGAGCTTAAATTCCAATTGTAGCTTCATTTGAACCCTCAAGTTTTAATGTCTTTCTCGACTAATGGAATCTTGTTTACTTTTAACAAATGAATTGCATCACAAATCATCAATATTTGCTCGAAGTTTCCAGACTAAAATTATACAACTGTGGACAAATAGCACGGACGATTTGACGTTCTTCGAGTTTAATTATATTTCCTGAGCTAACAGATGAGTGTCTTTTGTTATGGATAATGGATAAATATGAGGGATATGTTATCAAAACACTCCTAAGAGCTGATTTTAAAGTAGCTTCGTAAGTCTGTATTCAAAATTTATCAAATCCTAATTCCTGCCTCACAGCTAGTAATTTATACCGATTGAATTTCAACTTATAATTAATAAAACAAGTATCTTCGCCATTGGTTGGCAAACATCGCAAACAGAAAAATTATATTACTTAAATTCCGGCCCGAATTCTGCTGAATTCATTGCTTCTGAGGAGCCAAACAGAAACGATGAGGTTCTCTTTTAAGGTTAATTATTACACATTGGCTTAAAACAAACGTTTGGTATCTTAATCATAGTTATAATACTTTGATGAAAGAGAGCAATTTTAACTCGGCGGCAATCATATGATTGAGGTCCGCATTTCTTATATTTATCAGCTCTAGTGTTACGTACGACTTTTTGATTACTGAACTGTTTTTTTAGATAAAGGAGAAGTAACACACACTAACAGATACTTGTTTGACAGAAGATGTATATAAAACCGCAGCTACTTGAAGATTACTAAGCCAATTTGGTAAGGCTACCTTCGCAAGTTAACTACACTAGATAAGCAGATCAAAGGTATCATTCCACAAAAGCTGAGAGAAGCTAAAAAACCTCAGTTATTCTGATACAACTTTTAAGTTGTAATTAACATTTTTTTCTTGACATTCCAACTAGCATCCTGTCGAGCTGCTATGAAGTTTTCTCGCGAAGTTTCAGGCGGGCCATTAGTCAGTGCATGACATTTATTATAAATTTTATTTTTACTCATTAGGTAGGCATACAGTTTTTCAAAGTTAGCTGTAACTAGGCGGGAATTAAACATGTACTTATGGTGTCTTACCCTCAATATTTGCAGATTAAATGCAAGTAAAAGGTATGTTGTGGATATTCCAAAATTTAAGATTCCTCCTCTTCGCCTCTGCCATGGAGTTTGTCACAGCTGACGATCAATGTAGGAACAATGTATACATAGAAGGGATGGCTCTCAGGTGTTCGGTCTTCAAAAGATGGTCAGTAGCGGCTCCTCACCTCTGCGATGTCAAATGCGGACAAGAGATCACATGCCAAAGCTATAACTACAATCAAAAATACCAAATATGTGAACTAAATAACCGCACCAAGGAGGCGAGACCAGAGAATTTCCTTTCAGCTCCCGCGTGGTTTTACATCCGGCGATTGAACGGCAGAGGTAAGAAAGTGATTCTAAGTGATTCCTATTTCTTTAAATCTTCTCCATCCTCAACCTGATTCCTTCTCACCCGGAAGAACTAAGAAAAGGAAGTGAACGTAAAACATATCTTTACCTCAGCTCCATTAGGTTCTATCCCTGAATTACCAGCGCTGTCTTGTCGGGAAATAAAGGCAAGTGAAGGTAAACACACCATAAGCGGCAAGTATTGGCTCGATCCAACTGGGAAAGGAAAGGCAAAACTGATTTACTGTAATATGGTTAACGAAGGTAGGTCCTATGAGTTTGAATGAGTTATTTTATTTTGTAACGAGTTATAGGTATCATGAAATTATTATAAATTGTACTATTATTGATATCATCATCGTAATATTTGGTTTGGATCAGTTCTATGGAGGATGTCTCTCTCAAGTTGCTCTAACTTAGTCACTGCTTCTCTTTCCACATTCTAGATATGGACGAATGTAAATTTAGCATCAGCGACTGCGACGTGAATGCAAACTGTACTAACACGTATGGTTCTTACAAATGCACATGTAAAGTGGGATACACTGGCGATGGACACTCATGTTCAGGTAATTTTGAAGATTACCTTATTAATATTTCTAAATAAAACTAATTTTTGTAAATCGTCTCATAATTTAGAGCAGCGTTACCCATGCACGCATTTATGCACAGAGTTACCATGATCTACATCTTGCTTGTTTCAGAATAGTCAGGTTGATAAATTCAACTATTTGTGCTGAAATTTATGTAGCACTAAAAGAGAAACATTTGTTTTATAATTTGCGATGATTAAAGGAATTAACCGACTATGAGTCATAAAAACGATAAGATGCAAAAATGTATCGATGATTTTTCAGATATTGACGAGTGTAAAGGAAATCACTCTTGTCACATGAATGCTATCTGCACGAACACAAAAGGATCGTACGTTTGTACTTGTCACCGCGGATATACTGAAAATGGACGCGGCTGCGCAGGTATTTGATGCGTTTCTTTTGTAACCATTTTCATCAGAAAGAAAAGCACTATCATCGTTGTAAAACTTGTATTGCCATTATACCTTGTATTTAAAAGAGATGAATGTAGACCTGAAGACAATATTGATGATGACACAATTGTTTTAAATAAACATTCAGGGGAAAAAAATCTCTACTGGTAAAGGAAGACTTGATGGATGGGCTCACAGGACAGAACAATGGATTAAACTCGCGCAGAATCAAGAAAAAAATTTAGTGAGCGCTAAAGTGAGGTGCTTGCGTCTAGGAACCAAGAAAACAAGATTAAGGTTTCTAAGTTTATGCTCGGCAACTTCTTCCCGATTGCATTTTTTTAAATTTGTTTTAAAAATTTTTGAGGATCAAAGGAATTAACCTTGATGCATTTCTTTTGAAACCATTTACATCAGAAAGAAAAGCACTATCATATTTGCGAGGCTTGTTTTACAAACATACCTTGTATTGACCCTTTCACTCCTAAAAATCTTATTAGTAATTCTGTTTACAGTCTACCATACAATTCTTACGATGTAAGTTCTAAGAATTTGGTATTGAATCAACTGATAATCCTCAAGCTGATACTTTTTCTTATTCTCGTCATTTGTCTGTTTGATATTGTAATGATTTGGTAAGGAGAAATTCTTTTTTGGTCATTAAAGGAAGTTAGGTGGTTAAGTAAACATTCAGTGTAAGTTAAAAAATCTCCACTGGTAAAGGGAGACTTGATAGACAGGCTTACAGGACAGAACAACAGATTTAAACTTGGGGGAACCGAGAAAAAAATCTGGTGAGTGGTTGTGTGAAGCACTTGCGTCTGGAACCACAAGACAACAAGACTAGGGTTTCTTACGTTATGCTCGGCAACTTTTTTTTAATTACAGTTCGTTTCTTTAGTTATGTTTACGATTTTACAGATATCAACGAGTGCAAAGGAAATCACTCTTGTCACGTGAATGCTACATGCATGAACACCCTTGGATCACATGCCTGTCAATGTCATGCTGGATATACTGGAAATGGACAAAACTGCTCAGGTGAATTTAATTTTCCGCTACAATATTTTTAATAGTCCTGTATGCCTTCCGGCTACAGCGCCGCACCATTTAGCCGCGTTGCAAGACAATTAGGTAATTTATTACTCATTACTGGTTTTGATTTAGGCAGCCATTTCTCGTGTTAAGAACCTCTTAGGTAATGTCCCTGACTTTTAAGTGAACAATTTTGGTGACTGATGCGTTTTTCTGCTTTAAAATTAACCTTATCACAATGACTGACAGGAGCATGAAAATAAAATCGCTCGTCTGGCTCTGAACCCTGTGCACAGGATGGATATGTAAATGATTTTCCAAGGCGCTACGTTTTCGTTGACGATCAAGATATATTTGAGTGAAAAAGTTGAAAATTATTATCATCAGGTTTTATAAAATAGTCAAGATACTACGAGCGCCCTGATTGGTCAAAAAACAATCGTTGATTGCACCGGTAAACCAGTGGAAAATTGAAGTTTATATATGTTATTAGAGTAACAGACCGCACTTTCTATCGGTTTACAAGCGTAGTAAACGTCTTCAGATGTTGGGAAACCATTCGAAAAAAAAGTAGATCAATCGCCTCCAGCTCGTTCTCACAAAATCCAGCGTGGATTATATCGCCAGTAAACTGAGAGAAAGAGCGATAAATAAAGGTTCTACAAGAACTGCGGTGCCGCGTCGATGGGAGAGTGCGACAGGGTAATTTAGTATTATCAATTGAGTTTATGAGGTAAATTGGCCAATGTAAAGGGTGTTACAGCGAATGCTCGAAACGTCAGATTTGAAACTCTTTACAGAGGCCAATTTGCATTATCAACTCAGTTGATAAGGTAAGCAAAATAATGGGGAAGGAAAAAATCTAAACGAAATGGCAGGTTGAGTCCTGAAGGGATTGTATATTTTTCTCTGACCTTATCTGACCCTTTTCATAGAACGAAAGAAAACCTTTAGGAGGCAGAGAGAAATTACACACTCCTGGGAAATAATTGTGTTACTACCGAATACCTCGGGGCTGGCATCGTTGTTTGGGAGCTGAGAATCAAAAATGTCTTAAACCTATTTGGCAGCATACAGTAGAGGTACATACAACTCAGACTTAAATGGGCGAATATTCAACTCAGTTGTTAACACTAAATTACCTGCTATAATTATCAAAACCTGGGTGATGCCAGTATTAAGAGTAGTTACGCTACACCGCAATTTGGTCCAGTGTTTGGTGACGACCTATCCCCCTAGGGATAGTATGTTTTGTGGGAGCAGCAGGAACAAGCTAGTTGTTTCAGAGCCGATAGCTTGATAAACTGAAATATTGGTGATAAAATATACGTTTCAAATATCTAATTCGTGGAACACAAAAAAGAAAAAAAGAATTGTTTTATTCTGTATGATTATCAAAGTAATCACTCGACTGAGAGTCCGCTTATTTTTAAAATGACAAACAAAATGAAGTGCAAGTATATATGTGTTTGCTCAGATATTGACGAATGTAAAGGAAATCACTCTTGTCACGTGAATGCTACCTGCACGAACACCAACGGATCCTATCTTTGTGAATGCCACCTTGGATTTAATGGGAATGGTCAAAGCTGCACAGGTGAATTTAATCTCTTTGCTATAATATTTAGAATATTCATGCTCGAATATAACCTGAAGCTGCTGAGGTGGCCATATTATTAGTTTCTCATATGTAGACGATACTGGTTGTGCCCTAAGTCTGCCTAGAGCTGTCTTTTAATGCGTTGTCTGAAAAAGAAGGAGCTCAAATTAAGCAGCATTACCCATACATGCATATGCACGGAGTTGCCATGATCTACATCCGGTTTGTTTCAGAGCCTTGATGTTGGGAGATATAAAAAAGAACATCGGAGAAGAGAACATAATATCTAGGTTGCACGTTTCAAAAATCTGGTTCGTTAAAGACAAAAAAGAGAAAGTTTTTTCTTATTATTTGAAATGGTTAAAGTAATTACAAATCGTTAGGTGACAAAAATGAAGTGCAAAATGCATTAACGGTTTCTCAGATATTTACGAGTGTAGAGGAAATCATTCCTATCACGTGAATGTTACATGGATGAGCACCCTTGGATCACATGTATATGAATGTCACCCTGGAGATACTGGAAATTGACAAAACTGCACAGGCGAATTTAATCTCTATCTAAAATATTCATGACACATTTGACTACAGCGCCGCACCATTCAGCCGCGTTCACTCATAACTCGTAATATGAGCAGCGGTTTTTTTTAAAGGACCTCTTAAATAATGTTCCTGACTTTTTAACAAACACTTTTGGTGATAGGAATGAGTAGGTTGAGTCCAGAAGGGATCATTGTGTATTTTTCTCTGACCTTATTTGACCAATGACCAAGTCTTCAATTTCTGTCTTTACTGTGTACGTTCTCTCTCAGACGTTGACGAATGCAGCGAGGCTCATGCCGTTAAAATGAACGAATGCCATACGAATGCATCTTGCAATAATACCCAGGGCTCATACAAATGTTCTTGCAATCCTACGTATATTGGGGATGGTTTTAATTGTGAAGATAAGATTGGTTTTTTATATGCATGAAGGCGATGAAATTTATATTTTGTTTCCCATGTTGAATGTAGCAGTGTATTGCTTAGAGTTGACTTTCATCCGAAATTCACATGGAAGATGTTGACTTTCATCTGGAATTCACGTCGAGGACATTTACATCGAGGAGGCATATATGTACGCTACTTTGTGCACAAAAAAGAATCACTTTTTGATTGTGTTTTAAATGATTTAACAACCTTACACGAACTTTTACCTGATGCAGACCTTAAGAATCCCTAACTTTAAAAGGTTCCCTGGTAATAACAGCATCTATGATTCTTATTTGACTTACACAAGCCAATGAATGAGTTGCCAGTAATCGGATCCTTGTGTTTTCGCAAAGATTTCTGGGACCGCCACGGAGCAAACATTGCGACTGTTTCGAGGTCCAAAAAAACCATTATGGAGAGAGATCATCGCTTTTTCGCCGCTGTGCTGATACAAGGGAAGCGTGAGTTTTGTTTGAACAACCTCGGAATATGAGGTAAAATCCACCGATTAACGTTTCCCCATGCGCAAGGTTTATCTTGAAATTGACATCCTGTACTGGTCTCAAAATTTAAACATATTAGCTATAAATCGCCCAAAAATAACTCAACTAAGCCTTTTCAGTTTCTTTTACTTGTGTTAAGTCTACTTCTAGCTTCTAGCTTTTTTCTTGGCTTGATAATACAAAAGAGCGCTACAATAGCTACCTCGAAGCAGCAGGAGATTGAAATGGTCAGCTTGGGCATTGAATATTATCGAGATGCATTGAAGTGATTAAACACCTACACTGCCTCTTTGCTGTGGTAAACGAGAATGAAACGGCATTAATAATCGGCGCAAAACTAAACCCTTTCTTCTCCGAGAATGCGTAGGTACAAATCGGTCACTTAAGGAGCGATGCACAAGTGAATGTATGCCCACTGCTGGACTTTCAGTAATTCTCCTTACTGTCTACCATACAATTCTTATGATGTTAGTTCTAAGAATTTGGTATTGAATCAACTGATAATCCTCGAGCTAATATTTTTCCTTATTCTAGTCACTTGTCTGTTTGATACTGTAATGATTTGATAAGAAGAAATTCTTTCTTGGTCACTTATGGGAGTTAGGTGGTTATGTAAAAATTCAGTGCATGGTAAAAAATCTCCACTGCCAAAGGGAGACTTGGTAGATAGGCTTACAGTACAGAACAACGGATTTGGACTTGGGGAACCGAGAAAAAATCTGGTGAGGGGTATTACGAAGTATTTACGTCTAGAACCACAAGACAACAAGATGAAGGTTTCTTAAGTTATGTTCGGCAACTTTTTCCCAATTACAATTTTTTTTCCTTTTTTTTATGTTTATGATTTTACAGATATTGACGAGTGCAAAGGAAATCGCTCTTGTCACGTGAATGCTACATGCGTGAACACCCTTGGATCACATGTATGTCAATGTCATGCTGGATATACTGGAAATGGACGAAACTGCACAGGTGAACCTAATATCTTCCCTACAAGTACAATATTTAGGACAGTCCTGCATGTAACGTTCAACTACAGCGCTGCACCATTCAGCCACGTTGCAAGAAAATTAGATAATTTATTGCTCATAACTCCTTTTGATTTAAGCAGCCGTTTCTCAGGTTAAGAACCCCTTCCTGATTTTTAAATGAACAATTTTGGTGACAAATATGTTGTTCTGCTTTGAAATTAACCTTATCACAATCATTGACAGAATCATGAAATTAAAATCGCTCGTTTGGCTCTGAACCCTGTGCACAGGATGGATATGTAAGTGATTTTCTATGGCGCTACGTTTTCGTTGACGCTTAAGACACATTTGAGAGAAAAAGTTGAAAATTGTTATCATCAAGTTTTATAAAAGAATTAAGATACTACGAGCACCCTGATTGGTCAATAAACAATCGCTGATTGCACCGATAAGCCCATGGAAAATTGAAGTTTATGATATTAGAGTAACACACCGCTCCTTCCATCGGTTTACCAGCGTAGTAAACCTTTTTCAGATGTTGGGAAACCATTCGAAACATAAAAAGTAAATCAATCGCCTCCAGCTCGGACTTACAAACTTATCTCGTGTTTATAGTGTATTGTGATGTCCACGTGTGGAAATGAATGATGTAATACACTTAACAGGACCTACGCATTTGTATATATATAGCGTGTACTTAATTTACTCTGAGAGTTCTTTCGGTTTAGAGTAAGAGTGTACCGGACGTAAATAAACGGTTTTAACTTAACCACGGTGTAACAAATTGTTCTCACAATATACCGGGTGGGTTATCTCACCAGTAAACTGAGAGAAAGATCGATGAATATAGAGGGTAAGTTTCTACAGAACTGCGGTGCTGCATCGGTGGGAGAGTATAACAGAGTAACTTATTATTATCAACTGAGTTGATAACGTAAATTAGCCACCGTAAAGAGTATTAAAGCGAACGTTCGGAACGTAAGCTTGGAAACTCTTTACGGTGGCCAGTTTACATTAAAAAGAGAGAGAGAGAGAGAGAGAGAGAGAGAGAGAGAGAGAGAGAGAGGAAGAGAGAAGAGGCAAAAAACTCAAAAGAAATGTCAGGTTGAGTCCTGAAGGGATAGTGTATTTTTCTCTGACCTTATCTAACCCTTTTCGTGGAACTAAAGAAAACCTCTAAGAGGCAGAGTGTAATTACACACTCCTGAGAATTAATTGTGTTACCACCGAATTCCTCTAGGCTGGCATCGTTGTGTGGGAGCTGAGGATCAAAAATGTTTTAAAACGCATCTGGTAGCATCCAGTCGAGGCACAAAGAGGAAACATAACTCTTTGTGATGCTATAGTTTTATTTTAGTTCCTCTGTGCATCATGATTGTCCAGCGCAAATTATTCTTTAGATTTTACTTAATGCATCGTTGTTCATGTAAAACACAAGTCCTGTCTGCTTGTTGTCGAATTGATTGACTGAAAAAACGTCAACAACAACAAAATATTATCTTTGATACTACAATCTTTTTGCAATGTTTATTAATTTAATAGCCGACCCATGTAATAATTATCAAAACTAGGGTGATGCCAATAGAAAGAGCAATAACGCTACACAGAAATTTGATCCAGTGTTTTGTGAAGACTTATTCCCTGTGAGGTGATACTGTTTTGTGAGAGCGGCAGGAACAAGCCAGTTGTTTCGGAGCCGTTAGCTTGTTAAGTTGAAATATTCGTAAGGAAATATACGTTTCAAATATCTAATTCGTAAAACACGAAAAAGAGGAAAATTTGTTTTATTCTTTATAATTATCAAACTAATTACACCATTGGAAGTCCGCCCATTTTGAAGCGACAAACATGATAAAGTGCAAATATATATATGGTTTCTCAGATATTGACGAATGTACAGGAAATCACTCTTGTCACGTGAATGCTTCCTGCACGAACACCAACGGATCCTATCTTTGTGAATGCCAGCCTGGATTTAATGGAAATGGTCAAAACTGCAAAGGTGAATTTAATCTCTTTGCTATATATTTAGAATATTCCTAGTGAATCTAACCTGACGATACTGAGGTGGCCACAGTCGGCCATATTATTAATTTGTCATTTGTAAACGATACTGGTTGTGCCTTAAGTCTGCCTAGAGCTGTCCTTTACTGCGCTTTCTGAAAAAGAAGGAGCTCAAATTCGAACTAAGCTGAACTCATTTGGAGCTCCGTTATCACTATTTTAGCCTCTTCGAGTGATGATATCTTACACATGTACTACTTGACTCTTAATTAATGCATACTCATTTTTCTTGTTAAGTACAAGTTTCATCGCTTTTTGGCAAGCTGCCAGAATTATAAGATCTTAGAAAAAATCTTGAACCGTGGACTTTAATAACCCAAGTCCTATTGAAATTTTATTTCACTTTGTAGCCGATCCTTGCTATCATTATAAAAACCTGACTGATGCCAATAGAAAGATAAGTTACGAAACACCTGACGGTTTAGGGTTGTGTGACAACCGACTCCCTGAGGGATGGTATCGTTTTGTGGGAGCTGCGGGAACAAAAATGCCAACAACACGTGTGCGAGCATACAGATGTGGTACAGACTGGTCAGGCTGGTTGGATGGTCCTCATCCTACAGTGGAAGGTGGTAAAGTTATAAGGACGGTCTGCTTTAGTGATCGCTTGACTGGTTGCAAATACACAACTAAGATTTTTGTAAAAAACTGTGGATCCTATTTCATCTACAATCTTTTTTACTCACCTACTTGTTCCTTACGCTACTGTAGTACAGACTGAATATGAAGCAAATATACTTGGCGAAGTAAAAGGATTCATAAATCGAACCGTAGGTACATGTGTATAGGGTCTTTAACATGTGACGTAGTTAACCTTTTTTCTCTATCGTAAACATAATGAGCAGATTTTAACTTTGGTGGCAAACAGGTATTTATTTCATTAGAATGATAATTCTCATCAGACATAGCCTGTCATCAAAGAGAGTTGCGCGAAGGGTTTTCATAGTAAATTAAAATTCTGCAAGACGCAAACTCCCAAGCTTCTGGTTTTCGAGCCTTTTATTTATTTGTTTTTTCCCTTTTCATCCTTCTATTGCTGTAAATATTAACCGTGGTTTATTTTAGCATAAGTCAGTGGAATACAAGCAGGCGCTATCTTAGTTATAGGCGTAGCAAAAAAACGTGATGGTAGTCGAAATTTGATGTCCTATGAAATTACGCAAAGTTAACGAAATAATTGTGACTCAGTGTTTTGAAACGTAGAACGAATTTCCGGACACACAGTAAGCAAAATTCAATGGTTTAGGCTGTCGTAACCGTGTGTCAAATGCGTCCGAATCGACCAGATGTCATTCGAAATGGTTCGCTTACATCTCAGACTGATTTTGAATCTAAGTTCAAGATCTCTACGAAATGGTTTCAAAGTGTCCCTATACAGCTTATTTAACTAAGCACGGGCACTTCATTCATTCAAGGGAAAATTTGGTAAAATAATTTTCGAAGCAATTTGTATAGGTAATCACGTGTTTCGAGTACAATTTGGGATAAATCAGAACGGGAAATTTTCAAAGACTAACAAATTGCGTGAGCCCGTAAGGCGAGTCATGTGTATAATTAAGTTTAAAAACTGCGTATGGCTTTTAAAAGTTGACCAGATTTTCTAAGGTTAATATTTGCCTTAAACATGAACAGGGAAAAAGAAAAGTATTCAGAGATGTGATGTGCTAAAAATAAGTACTTACAGCAGCAAAGGTAAACACAAGTTGTAAACAACTTTTCTACATGTGCACTATTCGAGTACATCACCAACAATTTTTCACAGGAATGTTAGATTTGAAATCAAAATCACAATTATCACTGAAATTTTCCTTTTTTATCCAACAAGAATATGCAAAGAATCCTATGAAAAATAATAAGCGCAGGAAAGAAACCCACCCGCCGCCCACCCCACAGGCCACTGCCTAATATTTCAATAGTCTAAGACTAGTCTTCCATTCATTTGATTTCATTTGTCTCTAATTTACAAGAAGAGACCTGAACACAAAGCAAATGGGGCAAAGCATGACGAATTTATTAACAACGCATCAAAATACTAGAATAAAAGAAAAGTCTTTTGTGATCTTTTAACGATTAAGTCATATGAGCTGAGTCACTTTGTGGCTCAGCTTCTTGAGTGTTGTAGATAGAAGGGCATAGTGTATGTAGTCTCATTATTTAACAAAAACTGTGTATCTCTTTGTAAATACATTTACCTCGCACGGACTATTTTCAGCTGAGTTTCATGACACATCTGATGAAAGGTTATGTGAAAGACTCCTCAAATTCACTTAATAGCAATCGCGAAAGAGTAGCTTTCACTTTTTTTATTGTTAAGTCAATAGCAAGGGGAAAATAACGAAATGGAAAGGAAATGATCGGGAACATGCATGAAACCAGAACCCAGTGAAGTAAAAGCAGATCAATCAATCAAAACTTGTTTTAACTTTACATCACAACAATTCAGTGACAAATGGAGAAATCTAACGGAAAAGATAAAATAAGGTAATTGTTTTTAAAACTGTCATAATTAACATAATCGTGAACATTTTTCTCGTTTAAATTGCAAGTAATTTTCAGAAATAATTTTATAATTCAATTGTCAAATATTATTAAGTACACAATAATAGAAAAAAAACTTGCACCAAAAAGGCATCTCTTGTAGCTTCTGGCTTAGTTCTTAGTTCTAAGGGGAAGTACTTAGGGGATGTACATTGGTATGCTATCCATAGGAGGGGGTAGGGGGGTAGGGGGGGGAATTTTCTAATAAAAGAACAATGGGAGAAATCATTGTTATCTTTGGGAGCTAAAAATAGTGATGGAAACCTCTTGCATTGTTGTAAATAAAATGCTCTGAGAAAAATTCATCTTCATATGGCGCTGGTGGATAAAGTTACTAATAAAAAGTGTAAACGCATAGGGTGGTTAACTTCGCACGGTTAACATATTTTCTATAAATAGAAACAGTCAGAACTGTTGCTTAATAAACCCTGGTAATAAAACCACGTGCTAAAAATTCTGCCCATCGTCTTCCATTGCTGGATTGCATTATCCATCCTGTCGATGTCATCTGTTTGGCAGGAGGAAGTGAATAACGTTTTCGTACACTACGAATGTGAGTGCACATGCTGGCGTTACTCTAAAAAAAAACAACAACAACAATCAAACAAACAACATTCAGTAAAATTAACAATGAATGTAGTCACAGAGATTACGGTTCCAGGGTTTCTTCTACAGCGCTCCTATACTAGATTTCCGAACTTCGAAAAAAAAAAAACAGAAAATCTTTAAAACTTACATTAAAGCATCAGATGGAGCATAAAAACTTGTGACAGGGATAAGTATATCAATTATTTCAATATTCGAAAATACAACTGACGAAAACAGTGACATGACACCTTTTACATAAAACTAACTTTCAATTTTATAGCCTCTTGATTTTTTTATCGCCTGTCTCTGCTTCCCACTTTCTCACAGTCTAGAATGTACAAATAAGTTCGACACCTTATGGGGTACCTCATCTCTTAAGACCCTTTTCTTTACAAGCGCCACCTAAAATTAAAGATGGGATCCCACAAAGCCCTCTTCGCCAATTCTAAATTATACACTGCGGTATAACTCATAACACTAACTACCAAATCCACTTGTATCATCAATTTTATCCATAACATTCTACCTTACCTGAGGACCCTGGGAATTAATCCTTTGTAAAATCCTCTTACTCCTATGTGCCTAAGATTTTGAAGAGAACCTTCCGTGAGAAGGGACCAGAATAAGAAGAAAATATCTATTTCATGAAACTGTGGACTTGATCACTTAGCCGTAAATGCAAGTCAATCCAAAACCTGGATCCGGTCCTCAAACAAGCTGAACTCAGTTCTCCGCCAATTTCCGTCCAGTTCTATGTTAAATTGTTTCAAACAGGTAATACATGTACTTCCCTTTAATGTAGATGGATTTGAAAGTAAAAATGTTGAGTTTTTATATCAAGTTCCAACCTGAAAGTTTTACTAATCACATCCAACGTGCCTTTGTATTCCACCATTGTGTACTGATTCTTTAGAAAAGTAAAATTCATGAACAATATATAACAGAAGGAAACAGTTAAAAATGAACAATCCCCAAGAAAAAAAAAATTGCAAAGAGACAACCCCAGATATATTCACTTGGTTTTGGATAATTTTATGGGCACATAATCAAAACTTTGGCGCCGTGCGTTCCCATAGCCTTCTTGGATCCGTATTTATTGAGAGAAATAGAAAGGGGGTGAAAGCTACTCTCCATCCATGAGATTTGATATTCATCTATATTGTCGGTTTTCCCTAGCCTTTCGTTGGTGCCCATTTGAACTCCTGGGAAGGGGGATATATGGAGCTAACGAGTCTTTTCCCAAGGAACCGATACAATGACCTGGCTGAGGCTCGAGGCTCGAGGCTCGAGCACAGGCTACATCAACTCAGTCCAGTAAACCCACCGATGAGATCACTGCATCACCAGCCTGAAAACTGAAAAAAGCCTAAAACTAAAAGTTTATTTCAAGGTAATAGAATGTAAAAGTAAAAGAAAATGCATTTCAAAAGGTGAATAATTTGCTAATGAATCTCCCATCCTAACCTGAAGTCTTGCTCCAACCACTTGATAAAGATACGTCGCTGTTGCCGCGAAAATTCTATTCGATTCGGTAATCCCTCACATCTGACGAAAGCTTTACTTTACAGTGATTAGTTTTGAGTTTTACAGTCCTTGTATAGGATCTTATTTTCCCTTTTTTTGTGGCAAGATGTTATATGTGACCTAGTATTTCTAATTCTCCAACTAACAGAGTAAGGATTTATTGAAATCGACGGATTCAAAACATAAGCTTTACATCACTTTAAACAATCTGTCCAAAAAAAGACTTGATAATTCACATTGGAAATACTTTGTATCGCATCTCGAATTTCACGTTTGCAATGCAGCATAATCGATGTGAATATGGAAATAATATTCTTCAAAGGCGATAGAAAACCTTTAAATTTTGATATATTGGCCAGAGAATGAAGAAGTTCAAATTGCATTTCTTTTTATTGACCTTCTACAACTTTCTACGGCTTCCTTTCCGGCGCAAAGTTTTGGAAAAAAACAAGGAAAAAAAACAAGTCGACGTCATTATAGTAAACTCGCACAGCCGCAGAATTTAGAAAAGGAACGAAAACTGAATGTTTTACTTAATATCATCTTAGACTTAGAAGGCCTATCTGGTGCATCGTTATATTTTCTCGCTGGTTAGAGGTGTTGTTTCAGTTTTTTTTTTTGTTTTTGTTTGTTTTTTTTTTCAATCATTTGTGGCGATGAAATATCGCTTTCCAAAATCTCACAGTTTCAAAACATGACTAAAAATTTATCTTATTGAGCATAAAGAAACTTCGATATTTTCGTATGGACATTTTTTAATACAGTAGCCCTAGAGATTCTCTCTAAAATATCACCTGTGATTGCCACCCATAGAAGGCCTGTGTATTTATTTTAACACGATGATAGTCGAATTTCACTTTGGTTCCCTCGACAGTTTTGAGGTTTTGCGGTGCCTTGAAAGAAGTCAAAAGGAAAAAAAATGGGCTAAATGTCGTGAGGGAACTTGCTTCATTCTGTAGGAGTGGTGTTTAAGACTGACCTATACATTTAAAAAAAAGCTATCGATAGCGCTCATGAATGTTTCGGCAAGAACGGAATCATGAGGTTCACTTTGAATAAATGATTCGAGAA